TTTTAAGTATTATCAAGCATCGGGTGAATAAACAGCTTTCTCGGACTGTTACGTTTGAATAAACATTAAATTGGAAATTGCAGTCCATTGTTCGTTGTATAATTTAATAATGCATTTCGATTAACAGGAAGCAACCAGGGGAGCTAAAGATTCGCGCGGGAGAATGGGACACGCAGACGAAGAACGAGATTTATCCGCATCAGGATCGCGAGGTTGAAAGAGTCATAGTTCACCAAGGCTTCTATTCGGGTGCGCTCTACAACGATTTCGCTATCCTGATCCTGAAGACCCCGGTTGAATACGCGGAGAACGTAGATATCATATGTCTACCAGAGATGAACACCGTCTTCGACGGGTCCAGATGCTTCGCCAGCGGATGGGGAAAAGACGTGTTCGGTACGTCTTTTGTGTATCTTTAATGTGCGAAAGCATGAATGAAGAAATGAATATCGATTGATTTTAAATAAATCTCTTAACAGTGTATCTCTAATTCTTTTTGAGCTACACGAAGAAAAGAATGGTTTTCCTCAAATGTCCTAAAAATTTAGCCAGATCTGAAAATAAATAATTTTGAATCATTAAATGGTTACATAGTGAAAGTAAATTTCGGACTAACTCTCGTTTGGATTCTAACTCTCTGAAACTCTATGACGTTATATGATATAATTATTTAATTATAGGCAAAGAGGGACGTTACCAAGTGATCTTAAAGAGGGTGGATCTTCCTATAATACCACATGATACATGTCAAGACATTATGCGCACTACCAGGCTGGGAAAATATTTTGTTCTAGACGGAAGTTTCATCTGCGCGGGTGGGGAGGCGGGAAAAGATACTTGCAAGGTAAGCTTGATGCACCTTAGACGGCAACATCTTTAATCCTCGAAGGTCCCATAAGATTCACGTGTTACTTACATGTAGAAATAAGATTTTTGAATAGAATAATCGAACGTCTCTCGTCTCACGTTGCATTAGATAAAATGGTAATTTTTAATCTTTTCGTTTCAGGGCGATGGCGGTAGTCCTCTCATGTGTCCGCTAGCTAGCGATCCAACTAGATTTGTTCAAGCAGGCATCGTAGCCTGGGGACTTGGCTGCGGCGACGACAGAATACCTGGTGTTTACGCCAATGTAGCCTACGCCCGTCGATGGATCGATGAACAAATGGTTTTCTATAATTTGGATAACACCGTCTATCAATATCCCAATTGATCGTTTTCATCTGATTGTACTGATTATAAATCATACGTTTGTTTGACAAAGCATTTCATCATGAATTACGTTCATAAGTATTGAATTTCATATTGAATTTTTTTTTACTCTTTCTTTTCTCCTATAAATACTCTTTCATTGAGGACAAATATGATGTTTGATAAGCAACATTGACAGATGATATAGGATACGATAAACCTCTTTGATATTAATTAAGAGTCTCGCATCACTTTAGTTATGTAAGCTGAATTACGCATACGAAAATGATTGTTAATTTATATAAACGATGAAAAAATAATTGTAAAAAGCAATGTATAGCATTTTTATATGTGACGCATAAACGAATAATACATTTTTATTAAAAAGAGAATAGTATTAAGTTCATTCCCTGCTAAAATTTAAAAAATATAATTAAAAAAGTATAATTAAAAATGTAATAACTTCTAACTTTATTGATCAGTTATTGGCAATAATTTGTAAAATATAATATTTTTTATTCTTATAATACAGTGATTAGATAATGAATAAATGTGAGACGTAAATATCTTTATGTGCGTACGATAATTTTTTAGTATTTTAAATTCTCTATTGCGCATCAGATTAATGCACATGAAATTTTTTTAATAATAATGAGTTTATGGAATTTAGAATTAAAATCTATTTTTTGCAATTTGCATTTATTTAGATGCAGTAAGACCAGTTTAAAGCATCTAGTAATTCTAAGAAATATTAGAATGAATTAGAATGAATTAGAATAAATATTAGTATACGCATTGTCCTTAATATGCATAATTGCGCATTTGTCTTTAATATTGCACAATTATTTATAACACAATTATCAAATATATATATATTATGCAAATATTTGTATATTACTTACAAAAAATTAATTATCTTGAACCTCAAAATTAATGAATACGTAATAGAAATAATTTCTACAAAATACGTCTGTGTATTTATCTTTACAATTTTTGCTTTTTATCAAGAAGCTAATAAACTAATATCTACATAAATATATATTATATGAATAAAATTTTATCATTTATTTGCAATTTTTCAACTAAGTTTGCTAAAAACAGCTTCTGTTTTTCGATTAGTTATGAGATTTATAATTATGCCTTGAAGACAATATCAAAAATGAACTAAAACTTTATTGTGCTGACTTTTGTTGAAATTTTTATTATAAAATTTCAGATTCTCTTTGAATGATCTGTAATTATCATCGTATCAGAGATATTATTACAAATAATTTTATGTGCCGTATAATATAAGAGACGTTGGAACAATCGGAATATATGAAATGTGAAATTTTGTATATATTTGTGCAAATATTAACTTTATTTTGAACTCTATGTTTTATCACTTTACGTAGATAACATTTGTATATATTGACTCTCTTGAAAATTTACATATATAATACGTATTCTGAATCTTCAATTATAACTAATTGCCAGTTTCTTCTGCGTATCTTATCTTATCTCGCATAATAATATATAATTTACATCACATAACGTTTTTTCTTTTCTCTTTTTTACATCACGTAATGTTCTTTTCTCTTTAGAAAAACCTATATAAGGAGATGAAACGATGATCGCTCATCTAGTGTTTCAGGTGCTGCAAGCAATTATACAGTGGAAACGATGGCTCGGCTAAATCATATCGCAGTGACCATCGCTATGAGCGTATTGATATGCGTTCTCGCAGAAGAACTTTACTCTGACAGATTCGATGATATAGATGTCTTAAGTATCCTCCAAAACAAGGAAATGCGAAAGGGATATTACAACTGCTTTATGAAACTAGCACCATGCACAAGTCCAGAACAGATAGAGCTAACAGGTATATTTATATATATTCTTATCGAATTATTCTTTTTTTTTCAACGCATTCTTTAACTTTTACAAAATCGGTTTCTCCCCAATGTCGAATAATATGTACAAATTCTCAAATAATTCATAAAAAGAAGTACTTTTGACGAACTAGGACACGCACGACAGGACAGGACAGAAAAACAAAGGATAAAATTCTTCAGTTATTTCCAGATTATTACTTTTATACGTAACAAGACATAAAACAATGTAACAACTTTCTAATTTCAGATTAGTTTTATCCTTGAAAATGAGTACAATCATTCATCTCAAAGACATCCACAAAATGAGAAATAGCAATAGAATGAACAGAAATATGTGTCAATCCCAAGCTTGCAAATATCAAATTCAAATTTATAAATCTTGAATAGCTTGAATAGCTTTTAATTTATCGGTAATTGTAGAATTATTAAGAGTATAAATAAAACTGTTGATAAAACTATTAATTTTTGAAAATGAAGTACTAATTTTACCGATTGTATAAAGAATTAATCGTTAATCATACTTTTTATATAACTTTACTTTCAAATGGATAATTGATTTCTCAGAAACATGAGAAACGAAACTATTTTTTTCTCTTTTCCTTATATGAAGACCGTATTTTTAAGAAAACTATTGATCATGTGATTTATTCTATGATGTGAATATATTCTATATCTTTAAATCTGTTGTCTATTCAAATTCTATTAGATTTAATTAGAAATAAAATTGATAAATTAGGTTTAATATAAATATCAAATTATCTAATTATACTCTCCAACGCTGCTGGCGAATATATTAAAAATCCTTCTGGAGTGCAGCAGGAGAGATTGCGCAAGGCACGGTTCAAACTCCTAAGAGATCAAAGAATTGAATCAATTTAGTAATTAATATAAGTATCAAATTATCTATTTGATTTTAGGAACGTTCAGCGAAGCTTACCAAACCAAATGCAAGAAATGTACCGAAAAGCAAAAGAAAAGAATGCAAGTGATAGAAGAGTGGTATGTAAACAATGAACCTGATGAATGGAAATTAATAATTGAGAAGACTGTAGAGAATATGAAGAATGCTGGTCAGTAACTGGTAACAAACCGATGAATTTCTAATGGATTTCTTGCTGCAGGCTATAAGTGGATTTTTCTAATTTAATCGATGCAAATATAATAATTTACATTATTTAAAATGTAATATAAATATTTGTTATAGCATCTAACAGGATTGAAGGATTAATTTTTTTTTAAATTTATCTTGATTTGCATGTAATTTGTATTATGTTTGAACAGAAATATATTGTTACAGAAAAATAAATAAATTGTATTAATGTCTTTCTTCTGTTAATAAATTTCGCAAATTTTTTATTTTATTAAACTGTTCAATTCACAAATGAAAACAATACGATATCAGAACTAAAAAAAAGTTTAATCTTAGAAAAAATTAATCATATAATATAAAGATAAAATTTTAAATTTATTATTTAATATCAAAAATCAAATATGTGAATATATATGTAACTATCTTTGTATGTATCTATTCAAAAATAACATTTTTTTTTTTAGAACATATAGTTTATATCATATGTAAAGAATAAACATTAAAAGATAAAAAAAGACATTACATTTTCATAGAAAAAATATTTAATCTATGTAAACAACAAATCTACATTATATAAATAATATATTTAATATTAAAATAATATTTAAAAATTGACATGATTCTTTTATAAAATTATCGTATTATTATTTATACAATATACACAAAAAAGTGTTATAATTGTATCATTATTCAAATTATGTTAATTCAACTTTTTTTCTTTAATCCATAATTACATTTGTTACAATCACAATAGAATATCTTTTAATAAATTTTAATGTTTTAATGCTACATACGGTTACATTATTTTTTGTTTTTTGTAGACCTAATCCATTCGGATTGCAATTCACGTAACATTTGTGGTGTTAGGAGGCCTTCTGCTATTAATCTCTCAGTCAATTTACCTTTACCTATACGTTTGCCAGATCCTTTATAATCTAAAAAATGTAGCATATAATACTCAAATATTAATTATTAATATTATTATAATATTATAATATTATTATAATATTATAATATTATTATAATATTATCAAGTTCTTTCCTATATAAATAACATAGAATTACCTCTATAAAAGTTTTGCCTTTGCGTTTGCGATTCAAAACTGTCGGTCTCACCACCTAAGTAATAACTTATATATTAACTAATAAAAACTTATATATTAACATTTTACAATTAATATTATAAAAATTATTAATCATGATAAAATATAAAAGATTACACTCATAACTCACATATACACATATATACATATGTAATTTTATTAAAATACATATTATATTGTAAATATAGTTTTTTACCTGCACCCGAATTTAGTAACAAAGTAGTTAATTTAATTATTCCTGCCTCAATGAGCGCATCAAGTTCTTTTTGTATATAACGAACCATTTCAGCATCCGGAAAGAGATCCAGGAAGCGGTAACTATAAAATATAAAATGATGAATATAAAAACATAAAAAAGACAAAGATAGATTATTAAAGTACAATCTCAAACATTGTACCTTAACCATAAATAAAGATCCAAGACATCAAAAACACCTTCCAAATGGGCCAGATCAAGAATAGTTCTTGGTGGTTGAAAAGGCCATCCAATATGTTGACATAACCAATTGAATGTTATTGCATCATTTTTACTGTACTGACGTGCAAACTGAAAAAAATGTATATTTACGCAAAAAAATAATAGTATATTATTAAGCTATTAAGCAAAATATTGTCGATAATTTTCCATAAAAATTTAATTATTATTATTATATTGATTTGATTTAAATATTAATTATTATAATATTAATTTGATAAAAAATATAAGATAAAATTAATCAATTAATTATAAATTTCTTTACTGTATATGCATGCAATATATTACTGCGTATACGTAGTTCAATATACTGTTTATAACAAACTTTATAATAAACTATTAATATACTGTTTATATAAAAAAATTTGATTTCAAAAATATGCATTTTAACACAAGTCTGCTAATTATATTTAATTTTAAAAAAATCTATTTTGTTCGTAAAGGGACAGAAATAATGTAAAATCTTATATTTTGATAATAAAATGGATTTTGTATCAAATATCAGAAATTCTTTCTCCGGAATATTAAGTTCATAGATGCCAATAGATAGTAAAGATAATACCTTCAAAAACATGGTACAGACATATGGCAATTTCCTATTAATTGGTGCGCAACAGAACACATATCTTGCACGAAGTGGTAGTGGAACATGTTGTATCATGTCGGCTAGGAATTTAAAATCGTCTATGTTACACATGAAATAAAGAGAATCGTCGACTGTACACAACGATACAAAAATATCCTGAAACAAATAATTATGACATGACATCACTTATGATTGATCACAATCCCTTTATTGTTTCTGCGCAGAACTCACCATAAGATTTGATAACGATGCGTTTGGCAAATGATAAGCGTATAACTCAATCTGATCCGCTGTTGGATGAAGACCAGCTTGTATTATTGTCTCTGGAGCTTGTTGCAATAAATTTTTCAAAGTCAATAGATCTTCTCGCTTAAATGTTGTTACATATCCCTATAATACAAAAACGTATTTTAATACTTCTTATTTTCCTTTGCATTTTCTTGTAATATTGGTAGAAATAAAAATTATGCCTACTGTGCTCCAAACTGTGCCGTAACGTCCAGCGCGACCTGCTATTTGTAGAGCTGCTGACACAGACAAAACGTCCATTTCCTTTTCTCCTTTTTCATTAAATGATGGCTGAATCAATGAATAAAATATAATTCTTCGAATATGTCTATAACAATACATAATTTTCTTAAGACAATTGCTTCCAATAATACGCATTTATATCACTTATATCATTTTAACTTCAAAATAAATATACTTGTATGAAACTTACAGATTCAAACCCATTCCAATGGCATTGGTCGCTACTAAGATTTTACAAGAATTTTTAGGGTCGTTAAATTTCGCAGCTTGCGCTAGCTTGGTACCTGGAGGTAAGCTACCATATATTACAGCCACTTCTTTTCCCCTGCTCTCGAGAGAACGCGACACGGTATATATATCATTTTTGTTAAAGCAGACTATACAATCTCCAGGCATAACATTATTTAAGGATTCGACTGCGCGATCCTCTACCTCCAGTTCTGTTAATCGTTTATATCTGCGAACTTCCACATTCTCTCCCGTTGAAACACATATAGCTTTTACCTATATACAACTTGTTATTAACAAGTAATTATTGGTGCATAATTCACGAATATAAAATAATAAAAATACCAATTCTATAGCAGCAGCTTCACCACATAAATGTATCTCATCCGCGGGAATTCCCAGAAGTGCTCTCGTCCATGCCCAACCTCTACTTTGATCTCGCATTAATTGAATTTCATCAATTATAGCTACTTCATCTGCAATAAATTATGATTATGTTAGCAAGTTTCTTACATAAATACTAGAAAATAAATGCTAAAATAATGATATTTACAATTATTTTGTATATTCACCATCTCTACAGAACATGATAAATGATCCGCTGGACTATTATGGTCTTTGACAAATTTCCTTTCCTCTCCAGTTAATAAATCACATGGTGTTCCCTAAAGTATAGTAAATACATTAGTACATCAATTATTTTTGATAAACATAAATAAAATAAAATGAAAATATATATCAACCCTTTCATTGCATTTATGAAAAACTTCTGCCACTAATAACTTAAGTGGTGCACAGTACACTCCACTCTTTGCAGTAATAAATCTTTCTAAAGCATGGTATGTCTTTCCACTATTTGTTGGTCCAGCGTGAAAAATTATTTTTCTATTTTTTGCTCTTGCTAAAGGATACCTAAAAACATCAACAACAAAATTATATTCAGGAGTAAGCTTTTTTTCTGATAAATTAATGTACATCTACATTTCTTACCAAGTAGCAGGACTTCGTAAATCGCTAATTTTTTTGAGATCATCCAAGCAGTCAATATGTGGGAATATTTGCTTGGCATGGTTTATAAAGTATGGAAAAATATCAGTGACATTTCCAGCACCTTGTAGGATATCACTTAATATTACATAAAGATCTACAGGTAATGGTTCTGTTTTCAAACAGTATTGTTTAAAATTTGTGAAAGCTTGTCCCTGAAGATTGTCTGAAATTAATATCCCAATCAGAAACTGTAATCGCACATTCCTATATACCATTTTTTTACGTACTATCTAGTCCATGTTGTTCAGCTAGTTTCTTAATCTCCGTTTTTTGACAGAAAGCATTCAATATCTTTAAGAGTTCCGTTTTGTTTAATGTAGAGTTGCCAGTTAATTCAGCACCGACATTTATATCATCCGGATTCGGTTTGACAGGTACAGGATGGAACAAGGAATCTGGCAGATTTGTATTGCTATCACTTTTCTTGCCTCTGCATGGTTGAACGTAACTTGCACCAAGAACTCTTGAGCTAGCAATAAAAGATGAAATAGAATACAAATCACAGTAAGTTGTATTATTTCTCAATACAACTTATTGTTGCATCACTCAATCCATTGAAGAGATAACTTGAAGAAAACGAATAGAGATGTATACATTTAAAGAAGAAAGATATTTTATATCATCTATCTTTCCTTTATCTATAATTTTTAGATATATGTATGAATATATACCTGCGTGCGAATACCACTGCCGATAAGGCACCTCTACGAATCAACTGTTCCGCCATGGCACACTTCGTAAGTATCATTCCTCAATCCTGTTGTTAAAACATTTTGCAAGAAATGAAGAAAATAGTAAACGATCTCACATGGACTCGCCGACGTACATCCCAACGCGTCTCTTCCTCAGGCACGTGTGAGATCCGCCGATTCTCCGATTTGCACTGCGCTGTGAGTCTTGCGCATGCGCACCAAATTACCGCGTGAGAATTGTTTCATCAGCAGGAAATGCAACGACATTGACATGTTGCTGGTAAGTTACTAAAATAATTTGGATTGTAGCAAAATATAACAATTATCAATACAATTTCTGATTGATTCTAACAAATTCTTTTTTTTTGCTTCTGATATGAATACATTAGACTAATCAAGAATAATGTAGAATGTTGTGTAGAGAGTGTAATATTATTTCGCCTGTTAATGAAGCAATGAAAAGAATTATGTGTCTTTTCTAACAACGCAATGTGTAAGTGATAAGTTTTCATTAAAATATATGTTAAGGTGACGATTTCAATTATAAGTTATTTAGGTTAAGATTTTATTTATTTGTGTAAATTTATTGATTAAATATTTAAAAAAAAATTATTAATACCTATATAAGCAGCGAATATAACTTCAAATTATCATATAAAATTTATTTCATTATATTTAATTTACAATATATTAATGTAAATAAAATATTAATTTATCATCAATTTTATATGATCCAAAATTAGAATTCGATTCATAATTGGGATTATTATCTCTTGTATATGTAATTTCATCAATGGAAAATAATACTTTTACTTACCATTAATTATACTCACTTTTATTATTACATAGGATATAGCTCAATTTTATAAATTGACAAAGTAAAACATTGTACATTATTTAGCTCAGATTATTTTATAGTTACAAAAGAACTTTTGTATATATTTTGTATATATTTCATTTTTATTCAAGTATAAGAGAAAGAAGAAGCTCTATTTGTCTATAATGTAAAGGAACTTAAAAAGAAAGAGAAAAAATATAACAAAAACTTATAACATTATCAATCCCTCTATATTTCTCATTTGATCCTAATAATAAATTATATCATTTACAGTTTGTATTTCCGATAAATTTCGAAAGTTGGAGTGCACTGTAGGAGATGAGAGTCCGACAAAATCAGAAATTCGGCAGAGTCTTGGCACTTCGTTAGCACAAATTATCTTCGAGTATAATCAGGAAGCGGCAAAGTTGGTGGATTCAATATCCGTCACAAAATTTCCACAGCAACTATGTTGCGCGTCACAGGACAGTCAATTAAAGGCGGACATGGCGATGGGGATGTGGTCGGAAAAGCAGAAAATTCTTAAATCATGTATACACCGTGAAATCTTAGGTAGTATTCGACATATTCATAAATATCCAATGAAGTATCAAACACACTTTGCAAATATCACGTTTGTCAATAAATTAAATTCTTGGCTCAGCGTTGGGCGAAGACGAGCTGAAAAAATTCCAAGCAGAGATTGAAGCAGCGACGCAGAAGAAGCTGAGGAACGAATTTGCAGAAGAGTGTCGAATGTTTGAAGCTGAAAAAAGATTTGCTATTAGACGTAATGCGGATGAAATTCATGCTCAATACGAGGAATTTTTCAAGTTTGCTCAGCAGGAGTTAAAGGAGAAGTTGCAGGTAGACATAATTTCTCTGCTGTGTAAGCAATAAATAGAATATTTATAAAATCATGTATATAATTTTAATATACAATGAAGTGAATTTAAAACTGTATAATAGGTCGATATGGCCGATATAGATATGAAACACGACAAGGAATTGCAGACAGCCATCGTCAAAACACGAATGGATACGACATATGATGTGTTAAGAAAGATACAGCCCCAAATAAATTGGGTTGTTACATCTATCTACAATGATCTCGTGCAAGCTCATCGCATACAGAAAGACAAGATGGTTGTTGATTTTAATAACATTATGAGGTATTCAAATGATATGTAAATATTATGAGTTGAGAGTAAGATTGCATGATGCACTGCAAAATATTAAAATATTGAACTTTTATTCATAAAGGAAACGCCATATCAAATTCGATGAAAAAATTAAAAATATTGAAAAAAGGAAAATAGAAGAATTGTATACTCAACGTCGTGAACTCGAAATACAAAATGTAATAAATATCATTTATATTTTTTACATGGAAAGATTACATAGCAATTCACAACTGCAAGCGATACAGGAACATTACGAGGTAAATATGTATCTATTTCAAATGATACTTACAAAGTAAAGTTTTGTCTTCCTTTTTAAAACAATTATATAAAACATGAGTTTTAATTCCTTATTAATTTTTATTTAAATTATCTTGGAAAAAAAAAGATAAATTTGTATATAAATAGATATTTTTTAAATTTAATTTGAAACAAAACAATTTAAAATATATTCTGATTTGATATATATTTTAGAGTTGATGTATATTTTAAGTTTGCTTTTTTAACTCGTAATTATTATCCAACTTTGATATATTTTAAAGTACTATAATGTGACGAAAAGCTTTCTTTTACTTCAATAATTAAATATTCAATATATGTAGGAAAAAATAAAATCCTTCCAAAAACTTATTGCAAAACAAAATGAAGCTGTGAATATAATGAAAGAAGAGATTACAGAATGTCACAATAAGAATAAAATGCTAGAAGAAAAAATCACTATTCTCGCCAAGGAATTTCAAAAATTTATAAATTTTGCATTTGACACCATGCCAGAGCACGCCGACTTTTTATTACCATTAGATTTACTTTCTGTAAATAGCACAAATAAAGAAGACGGAGAGCGAGAAGAAAAAAAGCGATAGGAAAATTAAAAAGAAAATGTGAAATTGATTACAATAAGAAAATAAAAATGATGCATTGTAATTAATATAATATAATTATCAAAATAAAGAAATTTAATAATGCTTATGCTTTTATGAAGAATACACCGAATCGATGAAGAAGACAAAAATATATTTTTTATAAAAATTGTAATATCATAAAAATATGTAACATAAAAGCAAACTATTTACAGAAAATATAATATTATAATATCAGTATATGTGTTGTGTAATCACTGTAACATTATAGTATGGAAATATATTAATTACTAATTAGTATGTCAATGATTGATTGAAATTTCTTGCATTCTTCATTTGACAACCACGATACCATTCTGGATCTCGCTTCAGATTAAATGTCTTACGCTGGTAAAATTGTGCTAACATAACAGACTTCAGGCCTACTTTGCTAAGTGGAACAGGATGATAATCATCAAGGCGCCAACCATATATCCAATTTGTACTATCAGGGAAATAGAAACGCTTCTCCGGTGGTTCTTTATATCTAGAAAATTTCAAGAAATGTTTTGAATTAGTAAATTAAGTCCTTTTCAAACAGGAATTTGTGCGCCGTGTTATGCGCTACCTTTCAGTAAGATAATTATTAGTAGCAATAAAAGTTGGGATTCCTTTCTCATAAAGTATAGCTCTTACATGGGGCTCAACCGGCTTCATGATATCTATATTGATAGAACCATCAGATCTAGGTGGCCTCCAAGGTGGTAAGGGCTTCCGTTGTACCTATATGTATACAAAATTTTAGAGATGAACATTGTGAATCAACAGATCGAGATTACGCACGATAGGTATATCAACGCGAAGCATTTTTCGTTTTTCAGATTCCGCTATTATTTCTCTGGCTCGTTTCATAAATTTCGGTTCTTTTAAACGATCTATCAAGCGTTGTTGGTTCTTTAAAAACCATTTCATCCGTATTGCGTTTTCATTTCTTATAATTTCCTTATGAAATAATTGACAACGAGCGTCGCACACATTACCACCAATTTTCGCCATGTTTTACTCTTATAATTTATATATTATTTTAAATAAAATGGACGATTAATTCACGAATAATTTACACAGCCATCAAAAATTATTTTAATAAAAATAACTCTGAAGTAAGATTTCAAAATTGTTTTACTGTTCTCAAATGTTTTTTCTCCTCTCTTTACATACTTATAAAAGATGAAAGAAATAAGAAACAAATATGAAAATACACCATAATACTTTGTAGAATTATTTATTTACATTATTATTATATATAATGCATTTCACTGTGTTACACAAACTCAATTATGTACTTAATATGTATCCTACGTTTATATTTCTTTATAATAC